TTTAAGTTATATTGAGATATTATCATGTAGTTGAGACTTGAATTGGTTTAAACATAGGAATTTTACTGAATTTGTATGACTTAGAAGTGACTGTGGATTTGACTTTGTGTGCCCTGAAATCAAATTTAGGCTCTGAAGCTTGAGGAATTTGGTGTGAGTGGATCAGATGCTGAAAACGTGTGTTATTTACGAGATTTAGCTGATGCAAACAGGATTGCAGATGTCATGCAATCCTCTGTTGGTGGGAATGCTGTTGTCATTGGTGGTGGCTACATAGGAATGGAGTGCGCTGCATCTCTGGTGATCAATAAAATAAATGTAACCATGGTTTTTCCAGAAGCACATTGCAGTAAGTATTCCTGCTCTGATAGTTTACAAATTTAGAACAGATGTTTGAACATTTTGTAGAATCAAATCAAAATTCTTTGTTAGCGAAGGTATTTATCAGTTTTGGTATTGCTCTTGGGATTTTTGTAGTGGCCCGGCTATTTACACCCAAGATTGCAAGTTATTATGAAGATTATTACACATCTAAAGGGGTGAAGTTCATTAAAGGAACTGTCTTGTCATCATTTGACATCGACTCCAGTGGGAAGGTAAATCTTTTGTTGCTTTAATATCTGGAGAATATTTATTTTTTTGTTCCTTTAGCTGCTGTAAATTCATAATGATCACTAAGTTTTGCTGACAAACTGATACACAGGTTGTAGCTGTTAATCTTAGGGATGGAAGTCGATTGCCTGCAGACATGGTTGTAGTAGGGATTGGAATACGTCCAAACACAAGCCTTTTTGAAGGTCAACTAACTTTGGAGAAGGGTGGGATTAAAGTAAATGGACGATTGCAATCAAGCAACAGCTCAATTTATGCAGTTGGCGATGTTGCGGCATTTCCACTCAAAATATTTGGTGAAATCCGAAGGCTTGAGCATGTTGACTCTGCTCGAAAATCCGCAAGACATGCTGTTTCCGCAATTATGGAACCAGACAAAACAGGCGAATTCAACTACCTGCCATTCTTCTACTCTAGAGTCTTTGCGTTGTCTTGGCAATTTTATGGGGACAACGCTGGGGAAGTAGTCCATTATGGGGATTTCTCAGGAAATACATTTGGTGCTTACTGGGTGAGTAAGGGTCATCTTGTTGGATCTTTTCTTGAAGGTGGAACGAAAGAAGAGTATGAAGCTATAGCCAAAGCCACAAGCTTGAAGCCAGAAATTGAAGATTTAGCCGAGCTGGAGAGGCAAGGTTTGGGTTTTGCTTTGGCAGTTAGTCGGGAAGCAGTGCAGTCACCACCTCCTGCTGTGGTAAATCAGAGTTCTGGCCTTGTTTTAGAGAAAGCCTTATATCCTTGGCATGCAACAGCTGGTGTTATTCTTGCTGCATCCGTGGCTGCATTTGCATATTGGTATGGGAGGAGGCGCCGAAGATGGTAGGAGACTACTTGCGGGTATGGCAAATGGCAAGTGGAAGGTTATTGATGTTTTCTGATTTAATTCTGTAATATTCATGTTGTAACATTGATAGAAGTAGGATTTGGGATACATTTGATCTTATATGATATAATCACTTGTATTCATCAGAGAATATATTGTATACGAAATCGTATCCTTGTTGATAATTTAAGAGAACTGTCATTACATTATCTAATAAAAATTCTAGGATCATTTACAGGTGGACAGGAAGAAATGTTAAAGAGACATTGTTTTGGTTACATTTCAATAAAAAATCCACCTGTGTTTTGTAATTTGCTACAAAATTTGGTAAAAGAGTGCTGGAGTCGTGTCCCATTTACCTAACTTGTATGATAGCAAAGTCATACCATGCAGGACAAAGCTTTTTAACTTCACCATGTGATGCTCAACGGGGTAGAGTAACAAGATTATGGTTTCATGGTTTCAGTCGGGACATTATTGGATCTCTATTTTGATGATAAACTGGAAGTTGTTTGCTATGATAAATGATTTTGATATCAATATAAAGAGTAAACGACTTTTTCCCACGCAAGGTTTGCCTTAATGACCTTTTCCATCCAAAAAGTTTCAAAATATTACTTTCCTACCCAAAGTTAATATTACGTTACTACCTAAAGCCGATTCCGACAGTGAAAGTTCTCTCTGTCACCACCATTTCAACATTTAGTCTCCTCTCTACAAAACCTCTCTCACTCCGGCATCTGAATTCGCATCGATTACCGGCCACTACAAAACTAGGGCTTCTTGTTCTTAGTTGATTTTCGATTAATTCTAGTGGCGAATATTCAATCGGTCACTACCATTCGATCTACCGACCTCCACTCTACAAAATCTCTTTTACCCTAGCTTCTGTTAACTCGCTGAACTCTGACTGAGAAAGTAAAGTATATTTTAAGTATTAACGAAATATAAACTTTGGATGAAAAAGTGATATTTTTGAAACTTTTTAAGTGAAAAAGAGCAATCAAGGCAAACTTTGGGTCGGAAAAAGTCGTTTACTCTCTATGTAAATAACTAAAATATTATTATATCCAACCAAATTGTCAATCCAATTTTGCAAACTTAGTGTATACTTCCGTCGCTTATCATTTATCCCTAGGAAAAATAATTAAAAAAACCCACTTTTAAAATATTGTGGTTATCTTTTACATTTCATCCTTTATTATTTTATAAATTAATCATCGAGTTAACAACTTTTTCCCACTCAAATAATAGTTTAATTACACTTTCTCACCCATTGACTTTTAAAATATCATTTTACTACCCAAATTTATATTCCGATAATGAATAGAGAGCAAACTCAGTCCAAACTGTTATGGCTTTTGAAGAGAGGAGGTCGATAAGTCTTTTAGAGGTGGAAGGTTGGATTTTGGTGACTGAAATTGATCAAAATTTGACTTAGGAGGGGCGGCTACACAAACCCTAATCGCTCAATTGTCAGCAATTGTGGGATTGACGAGAGTAGGGTTTGAGGTGTTTTAGTGAGTGATGATCGGGGAAGAGAATGGTCGTGGTGTGGGGTCATAATGATCTTGGAATTGGAAACAGAATTTAAATTTGAGTAGTAAAGTAGTATTTAGGAAAGTGTCATTAAGCCATTATTGGGGTGGAAAAAAAGTCGTTTACTCTAAGGAGGCGTTTGGTTGGAGGTTATATGAGATTACAGGGGTTATGTCATCTTATATTACTTGATTGTCACGTTTGGTTGTCAAGTAATATAAGATTCCGGTAATCTTCTAATACTAATAGGGGGCGTTTGGTTCAGGAATGTTAGATTACTGGGAATATTGGATTACTGGAAAGATAGATTACCTTGGAAGATTACTGGGAATCTTTAAGAAAATATGTTTGGTTAGTTGGTGGGTATGTTATATTAATATGTTTGGTTATGGGAATAAATTGGTGGGTATGTTATTTAAATTATTAAATTGACCCTCTTTTAAATATTAATATAATATTATTTTTATTATTAATTTTTGAATAATTTTTTAACCCCAATATTTCAGATTTAGCTAAAACACCCCCGCTTATAAAAAAACTTTAATTCATGACGAAATCACCCCCACCTCCTGCCGCCGCCTGCCGCCACCGCGAACAACCGTGAAAAATCGCTGGAGCCCCTAAAAAAGAAGGAAATTCTGTGGGAGGCTCCGGAAGGCTTCGTTATGGCCTTTCCGCCATATCGAGCCTCCCGAGCCTCCCAGAATTTCCAGTGTTTTTGGGACTCCGACAATTTTCTGACGGTGGTTCGTGGTGGTTGACCCGCTGTCGGCGGTGGTGCTGGGTGGCGGTGGTGGTGGTGGCTTGGTGACATGGGTGTCTGTAAATTATTTTAAATATAAGGGCATATTGTCCAAATTTTTAATTAACAAGTAAAATTGAAATAGGATATTAATGTAAATTTGTTTTAAAATAGGGGTATTATTGTCCAAATTTTTATTAATAAGGGCATAAAATTGTAACAAAAAAAGATAACCCTGGTAATCTCAGAAAACCTAAGAAAATGGAGGTAATCAGATTACCTCTTATATTACCAATAGTAACCACTATTGGTATTTGAAGATTACTGGTATCTTATATTACTTGACAAACAAACGTGGTAATCAAGTAATATAAGATGACATTACCCCAGTAATGTTACTTAACCCCGAACCAAACTGCCCCATAGTAGTTACTGTTGGTAATATTAGAGGTAATCTAATAACCTCTATTTTCTTAGGCATTGTAAGGTCACCAAAGTAATATTATTTTTGTTACAATTCTATCCCTTATTAATAAAATTTTAGAACAATAATACTCTTATTTTTAAATTAATTTACATGAATCTAGCTTTTACTATTTCACCCCAATTAACTTTTTGGACAAAATTGCCCTTGAATTCAAAACAAATTGCAACCCACCCAATGTTAAGAAACGATCCAGTTACGCAGCGGAAAAACGAAAAATATTTAATAATATGGATCGTTCCATAAAACCAAGATCAGGGTACAAAAATTACAGTTTATACATTATAATTGAATCTGCAGAAAATCAGTTTAAAGGTTTAGAAACCATACCCAAGTTTAGAGGCTCCTCCAACTTTGTCTCTGAACGTATTTTGCTACCGACCCAAGTGTGAATCGAACCGACGTAGTCCACACGAAAGATAATCGCAAGGAACTAAAGAAGGATTTGCTAGATCCTCTTTAGCCTTAAGAACAAAGAAGGAAATGAAAAGTATTTAATTTTTTCAATCAAAAACTAAAACTGGCGTGGGAGAGAGTGTTTTGGGGCTGTGGGTTTTTCTTTTCAATGAAAAGAATGAATAATGAAATCTTACTTATTCACAGAGAAACCTTTTTCTTTTATAGTGCAAGTTTAATTGCCCTATTCCCTTATGGAATAGGTTTGGGCTCCAACCCAAACACCTCATCTTTCCAAACACTCCTAATTAGATATTTTATTTAATATATTAATATTTAACAATAATGATAACTTATTTAAATATATGCGAACACATATTTAAACGTAATCTCACTTATTTTATTTTTCTAACAAATTAAATAAAGGTTACGACCTCAGCAAATTCAATTGCACTTTGAAATTACCAAAATACCCTTTCGCCTAAAAAGACAAAAATGCCCTTCTTACTTCTTGAGTCTTAAATTATCTTCTATGTGTGTGACTCATAGGCTCCTCATCATACCGATAGTATATAGTATTGCGATTAACACCAATTAATCGTCTCACTATACACATACCAAGATTGGCCCCTAGCAAGGCATCATGGCCACCCGATAGATTCAGATTCAGCAAAATAACTACCTATCACGATACGGTTACCGTACAATTCGATCCGTTCATCATAAGTTATCTCTACGAGACCGAGGCATAGAAATAGTGACAACCTACGGTTACTCTCGATATTGTATATTTAGTTACTGGACTAATGACCTGTATTATAAACTGGATAGAGCAACAACTCAATCTCACTGTGGCCACAGTTTTAGTGTCATTGCCATTTACTGAATTGCACCATGAAATAACTTCTCCCGTACCTGGGAGTGATGAATCCTCTATCTATCCATCATAGTCTTGATACACTCCTTGATACAGCCAATCACTACCGTACTGACAGCTCTAAATAGAACTGTGTTAGGCTAGTGTCAAACTGCACCAATCGGTGCACAAGGCGCTCCGGTGATCTCAAGTCTAAGGATCACATGCACCACCATTCGTTAGAGGATTTGTTCCATAGACACTAGGGTTACCATCCATATAGAATCCTCTGGTGGGTCAGTCCAGTGAACCTGTTACGGTATATTTGCCTAAAGCAAGCACCCATGTGTTGCACCAGGTTGTCACCAAACAACCTTGACAAGTGAGATCAGTCATTGCCTTTCGACAAGGTTGTTCAACACTATGATAGCCTTACTGTATTATATGTGCCCTTACTTCAAAATAATACTGGGGCTACGGACGTTTCTAGAATGGCCACCATATGTGCTCATAGGGTTCTCACTATCAAGATTTAAAACACTTGATACCCTCGTCACGGTTCTACCATTCTAAAGACATATATCAATACATATTGCAATAATAATGATTTACGCGATATAAAATAAAATGTCTTTTATTGATTAATAAACATTATTACAAAGAGTCAATTCTACATTAATTGATTCGCTCTAGAGCATTTACTCTAACACCCAAGCCACCACCCCCATCCGCCTACCATCAACCAAACCACCGTCAGAAGTCGCCTAGAGTCGCCGTGAGACATTAGGAGGCTTCGATGTGGCCGTTTTTTGCCATATTGATGGCTAGAAATGGCCAGAACTATTCTGGCCATTTCCGACGAGATCGATGGAACTGGCCGTTAACGGCCATATCTCATTCAGATATGGCTGATAAAGGTCATTAATGGCTAGATCCATTGATCTCGCTGGAAATGGCCAGATCTACTCCGATATGGCCATTTTCGACCATCAATAAGGCCAAAAATGGCCACCTTAGAGCCTCCCAGTGACGGTGAGCTACTCACTACGACTCCAGGCGACGGATGATGGTGAGCAATGGCTTGGGGTGGTAGGGGTGATTTTGTTATAAATTAAAGTTTTATATAAGCGGGGTGTTTTAGCTAAATCTGAAATGTTATTTTAGAAATTAATAATAAAAATAATATAATTTAGTAATTTAAATAATATACCAATCAATTTATTCTACCCAACCAAACATATTAATATAACATACCCACCAACTAACCAAACACATTTTCCTAAAAATTCTTTATAATCTTCAAGGTATTTCAACATTCTCTAACCAAAATCACCTTAATTTTGTTTATTGCCAACTAGTTCCTCATTTGGTCGAGTGGTATGATTCTCGCTTGGGTGCTAGAGATCCCTAGTACGATACTCCAAATGTACCTCAAATCACTTTTTTGCCAGTCTCTCCCCCCTTTCTCAGTGGCAATCAACAAGGGTAATATCGTCAGTTAACACATAAACTCTCATCGCCTATACCTCCACTTAACTTCCCACTCCCCCTTATCCTTTCATTTATCTCAAACTTCAGCTCTCAACCAAATTCCATCTTCTTCAAAACAAAACCCAAGCCCCAAATCTTCCCCAAAATGGCGACAACTCTTTCAGCTACAACAAGACTCACTCTACGCTCTCATCCTTCTCCCTCAAACTCATCTTTTCCCTCTTCTCACCCCAAACAATTCCTCAAATTCCCTTCCTACCCCCACCTTTCTAACGTCACCCACCGCACCTCTCATCTCCGCCCTCTTGCCGCCGTCGAAGCCCCCGAAAAGATCGAAAAACTCGGCTCCGAGATTTCTTCCTTGACTCTCGAGGAAGCTCGCACTCTGGTGGACTACCTTCAGGATAAGCTCGGCGTCTCTGCTGCCGCCTTTGCTCCCGCCGCAGTTGCCGCCGCGCCCGGAGTCGGCGGTGCAGGAGATGCGCCGGCTGCAGTGGAGGAGAAGACGGAATTCGATGTTGTCATTGAGGATGTCCCGAGCAATGCGAGAATTGCGGTGATTAAAGCTGTGAGAGCGCTGACTAGCTTGGCTTTGAAAGAGGCGAAAGAGTTGATTGAAGGATTACCGAAGAAGTTTAAAGAAGGAGTGTCTAAAGACGAAGCTGAAGACGCTAAGAAACAGCTTGAAGAAGCTGGAGCTAAGATTGCAATTGTCTAGAGACCCTTACATTGATTTGTGTACCTTTTTTGGGGGGAATTTTCTGATGGTAGTTTTCATTGTAATTTGAAACTGTAATTTTCTATGTGGGTTATCGTCTTATCGATAGTTTCTCATGGTTTTTAGCTAAAACTCCATTTGTTATTGTTATTTGAATTGCTCTTATTTTGTTTGTTAAATTGCTTGATTGAGTTGCTTTTGGCGGATGAGGTAAGGCGTGTGTATTATATTAATAGAACGCTGCGTTTCAATTTAGCAGAAGAGTAAATTAAAGGTCTACTTTTGTGAGAAGAAGATGCAGTAAATTAGAAAGAAAAATGCTCAAAGAAGGACTACAAAGTGACATCATCCAGAAGAAAAAATGGAAAAAGAGAGAGATCATGAAAATAAATCAAGGGTGAGGATTGTCTTTATACCTTTTTTGTATGTGTTTTTGTCAATTAGAAATGGGATGTTAAGATGTAATATTAGTGGCAGTGGCAATGTTGACTCAAAGGCTGCCTTTCTGGTTCAATCTTCAATGTGGCCGCCCTTGTTTTGTTACATTGCATTATGAGATTTGGCACTATGAAATTGTTGTTTGTTTATCCATCGTATAATAGTTGCAGACGTCCTATGGTTACAGGCATTGCAAGATAGGCCATCTTCCAATTTCTTTTTGAGTAACGACTTGTTCCCACTCAAGGTTTAGCAATATCCAAGGTTTCCACCCCTCTTTTCATAAATTTCATGTTCCTACCCTCAAATTAATATCGTTTGTGATTTTTTTGGTTCTAACATAGTCTAGACAGTGCTATTATCAAATTACCCTCATTATTTTTTCTCCTTTTCAATACAGCCAGCGTTTGTCACCAGACTTCCTACTGTCGATGGACCATGGCCTTTCATCTTTCCCAGCTTTCTGCCGTCAATCGAGCGTGGCCTTTCACCTTTCCAACCAGTCGCTAACCCACAAACAATTGCACCCTTAAATCGCTGGCCAATAGCCACTATACTTTGGCATTTTTTTGGCTAGATCCCAACCGATTCTCACACAGAAAATCAACCCTGTCTGCACCATTCGACTCCCCTTCTTCTCTTCTTCAAAACCCATCCCTCCTTTGACCAAAGACGTAGCTATGATTCTGAGTCAATGAGTTCAAAACATCAAAGTTGGTAAATTTATAATAAAATTTATCATAAATAAAATTTATTTGCAATTACAATTAAAAAAACAAAACAAATTTATCAAAATTCAACTCATAAATTAGGTTTTTTAAACAATTTCAACTAATCCAATAAAATTTAACTCATAAACCTATGAAAACTCATCAAACCTAATTCTAAATATTAAGCAATTAACTAATATATCAAAATTAAACAAAATCCTCAAATCTCTACAATTTAGGTTTCATCAATTCTTTAAACCATTTTCAAAATTAACTAAAAAACTAACCAAAATTTATCAAACTTAACTTAAAACAACCATGAATTAACGCATATCTCAATATAAACAAGATTAAATCAAAACTCACATCAAAATCTATAAATTATTTCAAATCCATTTATTAAACTCAACAAAAATTCATAACTCATAATCTTTCATCAATTAAGAAAGCTAAAAGAAAAGAATTTTAAGTAAAAAAATAAAAATAAAATTAACATCATCTTACCTTGTAATCCAAATGAGTAATATTTCTTGAGTATCCAATTAAAGGAAAAATATAACATGAGTGAAAAGAAGAGGAAATTAAAAAAAAAAGACAAATTTAAAAAATATTAATTGATAATTCATTTTGTAGGGTCAACATAAAATTAAATGGAGTTAAAATTGTAAAATCTATAAAATATTAATACTTTTTTTAAATTTTTGAAAAGTAGAAAGGATTCAATTGAACCCACGACCCACTATGTGGCTACGTGTCTGCCTTTGACCCTCCCCTCTTGCCGTTTGCTGCCCCTGACTTGCACTTGCCGTTGCAAGATAGTCGCGGTTTCTCATCCGCTTATCATTGGGTATTGGTGTTTGATCAATGGGGTTTGTTGTTTTTAAAGTATTGTTGTTGTGTTGATTTATGGTCGCCGGCAAGCCCCCCACCACTTCAAGCTTGCTGCTCCATCCACCACCTATTCAACCATTTGCCGCAACCAGCCCAACCAATCCAGCACCCATCCTTTCTCCTGCACGCATAGCCTAGCATGAAGATGGGAAGAGGGGCAGAAAACCAAGGGTGTAAATATTTTGAAATTTTTATTTTTATTTGACATTTAATGTAATGTAAAATGATTATTTTACCTTTTGACTGTTATATTAAATAATTTTCGTTAAATTAAGGGTAGGAATATGTAACTTATGAAGCCAACGTAGGAATTTGGATTTCGCTAAATCTTAGGTGGAAACATCTCATTTGCTCTTTCTTTTTTATAAAATATTAAAATGTTTTTAGAAATTCTATATAAATCTGATAAGATTTGCTTAGCCATTTTTGACTGATGTTTAAATTTTCTATCATTGACTCACAAAAAGGCACCATATCCCAACTAACTTCCACACAACTAGATTAGTGACGAGGAACTTCGTTCCTTGAGGGTTGAGGCAAAGCGACGACACCGTTACATGAAATGAAATGACAAAGTTAGCGGTGAAATTGCTGTTTGCCTTTTAGGTTCCAGGTGGCCATCATCCATAACGTCACGGCATTTTAAACACGTACCAGCCTTTCTCTTTTCAACTTGTTTTTACTGCTGCCGTTATCGCACTGTTAAAAACGATTAACAATGGCCCCCTATGCCCTAACACATCCACGCCTCTATTTCTTCAAACAAAAAAAATTAACAAAAATTGGCATAATTCAAGATAATAAGAAAATAAATAAACGTTCGGTATAAAATTAATTTTTGAATTTAGTATTAATAAATAATTATTCAGTGCACAATTATACCATTCAATAAAAATATGTCATGTCAACGTATGATGTCTTATACGTACTCTCTTATTAACTAATTATAAATCCATTTAACACCGAAAATTTTCTCATTATTAACATATAAATAAGACAATAATAAATCATTTGAATCTATATATGACAAGTTATTGAATTTAAACCATAATATAATTGACCATATAGTAAAAGTATTCTTTATATACACTTATTACTAAATATTAACAATAATCTTATTCATTTTCATAATTGCAAAATAAACAGTACAAGTATCTAAAAACCATTTTATCAAATGTTTAATTGCATGAAATTAAAAATTATAATATAAAATTAGTAAATCTCCTTATAAAAATTTAAAAAACCTAAGAAATATTTTAATAAAATTT